AGAGAGAGAGACAGAGAGAGAGAGACAGAGAGAGAGAGAGACAGAGAGAGAGAGACAGAGAACAGCTCTTACCAAGCTATACAGGTCTAATCTCTGTACAAACAACACACCTCCTGGGATGGGCCAGTTCCCTTTGATAGCAGGCTGAGGACCAACAGAGCAAAAGGGAAGAGAATAAGGAGTCAGAGGGATATGTAGGGAACAGAGGGAGTCAGAGGGATGTGTAGGTTACAGAGAAAACAAGCCTCATCATTTAACCCAACATACAAAACAACATCCTGTGGAAAGGAGGGGGGTAAAACGCAAGTCAACTTTTATTAACTTCAGCACCCTGAACTAAATCACCCACTGTCTCCCCTGCATCCAGGCTGCTTTCCCCTGGACATGCTTCAATTCCTTTCTGGCCAGAAATGAAGCATTTTTTTTTTCAGCCAAGAGAACAAACAGAAAATAGTCTTACTTGAAGGGTGGAGGTAGATGATGTCTTTCACGGTGAAGTCTCGGGATTGAGCAGCTTTCAGACAGTCGGCCAGCAGGCTCAGCAGCAGGAGCCAGGCCAGGGCAGGGCTAGGTTCCATGGCAGACTGGCTTGTCACTCATACAGAGGGCCTCAAAGTGGGCGCTTGAGGCGATGGGAGAGGACCTGCACCTGAAACAGGAAGACAGACTCATCTTAGTATCCAACAGGAGATGGAGCAGGCAGCCTGGCTGATCTCGGGTAGGTGAGTTGAGCTGGGGAGGGATGGCACACTGGGCCCAGGGAAACAGGTGCCAAGGGGGCAAACCTTATAAATGGTAATTTTAGAGCACTCAGAACATTCCAGCCTGAATCTATTCTTAATCAGGCTGCTCCTACTGCTAGCAATCCTTCCTAATATCCAGCAGAGATGGTATCAAGAGAGATTGAATTTTAATGAAATCCAGCTATTTTTGCCAGGAGGCCAGGGGACATGTGCCAGAGAGCAACAAAATAAGGCAGGTGCAAAGCTCAGAAGCTTTTTCCCAATAATGGTGGGGCCCAGGGAACAGACAGCATCCTTTCTGAGTCCGAGCCACCATACTGAATGGTAGGAGGGACTCAGATTTGGAAAAGAAATATAGGTAAGCTGACATCTTCCAAACCCCAAACCATCTCAACAGCACAAAATCTCTTAAACAAAACCAACATTTATTGGTGAATACTGTAGGTGTTTGCAAAAGAAAAAAAAAAAAAAAGCAAAATAAAATAAAATGCCAGCTTACTCTAACAGCCCTATGAGGTTGCCACTCCCATGACCCCATCTTGAGTGAGCAGGTCAAGCACGTAAGGACAGGACTGGCTTCTACTCACGGCGTGGCTTTCAACTCTGCATTTCAAACGCCAGCAGACACTGTGTTCTACCTAAAAACCAATGATTATGGGATTGAGTTGCTACTTCGCATTAAGCAGTCATCTGCTGCCCTTTCTTCCAATTATCGTTCACTAGCCTCAGAGAACAGTAAAGCCCTGTGTAGACTGTTCAGCTCACTCAGAATGCAGGAAATGCTCCTTTTACAAATGACTCTCTCACTATCTCCTTAATTTTCTAGAAAGTCCAGGTCTCACATTCTGCTTTTCCAAATCCATAGTCACTTTCGGTCATTAAAAGGAGTGGAAGTTAGGTATTTACTTATTTCAACCTAATTAAAAACCTGCAATTTGGACACTCTGTTTATAGACTTAACATAAATATTCAACAAGATTTTTAAATGGCTTAAATTTTTAAGTTCCCTTGTGAAAAAAAAAAAAAAGCCCTGAATATACATCAGAAATTCGATAGAGAAAAGGCAATATGGCCCATTTAGACATGAGGATATACTATAAAGTGATGTCTATCCAAACTGAGTGACAAAAAGTATACTAACAACCCAACTCTTCATGAGATAGAAGCAGGTTTTCAAATTGAGAGAGCAGGAAACTCTCAGTGAGCAGCACTATACCATAGTGAAAGAAATGTGGAAATTATTAACTGAAATCAATAGTTACAAATGCTAATTTTTTTTTAACAAGCCAAGCAGTGGTGGTGCACGCCTTTAATCCCAGCACTCAGGAAGCAGAGGCAGACAGATCTCTGTGAGTTCAAGGCCAGCCTGGGCTAGAGTGAGTTCCAGGAAAGGCACCAAAGCTACACAGAGAAACCCTGTCTCAAAAAAAAAAAAAAATTAAAAAATTTACAAATGCTAAATTTATTTACAAATGTGTTTATGTTCATTTGTTGCTTGTTTTCGGAGACAGGGTTTCTCTGTGCAGCCCTGGCTGACGTGGGATTAGCTCTGTATGTAGATCAGGCTAGTCTGAAACTCAGAGATCTGCCTGCCTCTGCCTCCTGAGTGCTGGAGTTAAAGGTGCGCTTTACCATCCCCCACGATGGTCACCTTTTTCTTTTTCTTTTTTTAAGTTGGCAAGCTGTCTAGAAAGCAAAGTGCCCTCTAACGACTGATGGTGCAACCTTGCCAAGTCTGGGCTCACTAACTGCTCACACTTTGCCTCCTGAAGCGGACTTGCATGCAGGATGAGAAGAGGCTGCTAATAAATATGACCGACGAACACTGTAGGGGGCACTTGGTTGAGCAATGCTAAGGAGATGTGAAACAAGGGTCAGTGGTGGCCCTCCCTGACTTGAGACAGCAGCCTAGCTTCATCCTAGTGGAGGTGACAATGCTCCCTTTCTAGACAATCAGGTGAGTGAGGCAGGGAAGGTGAGTCCGCATCTGTGGGACAGGTGGGCACAGTGAATGCCGGAGACTTCTACACCACAGTCCACACCCCGACCTGTGTCCTCCACAATCAGGGATGAAAATGGCGGGGACGTTATGTTTGGGACCACAGCCATGAACTCACAGATGAACGCAGAAGACCAGAAAGAAAACATGACCTATAAACAGAGGCCCAGCCTCAGAGTTTGCCTGGGCTACCACAGGGTAGCCAGCTCGACTTTCTCTCAGGTACAGAGGCTGGAAGTTCTGGGTCAAGGTGTCTGCAGCTTTGGTGCTTCCCGGGGCCTTTCTCCTTGGCCACAGATGGCCACCTTCCCTGTGTGGCCCTCATGTCCTTCTTACTCCTGTGTCCTTGTCTTCTTATGGGGACACCAGTCCCTTGAATTAGGGCTTCATGTTAATGACTTCACCTTCATCCCAGTTACCTCCTTAAAGGCCCCTGTCTCCAAACAGAACCGAACTCTGAGGTACTTGGTGATAAGACTAACTTAAATTCTGGGGGAATCACACTTCAGCCCATGGTACAAAGTTTCTTCCATATTATATTTACTGTCCCATGATATGCCACGGAGCTACTGTTTAAAATTACAAATGGTGCCACAGAGTGCCACAGAGGGATGCAAATGCCTTCCTGCATTGTGGGGGATGTGAGAGCTTCTGGTCAGGGACTTCCTGTGGCTGTCATTACTTCCTCCTGTTCACCTGGCCACAGAGGAGGCACGGCCACTGCTGTGGTGAGATGAGACATTTGCCTCAGACCGTTCTGACACCTCAGGAACAGTGTCCTGTCCTCTGATGGTTGCGTTTGCTGGTTTGTCCTGTGCTTTGCCATAGGAGATAAATGACAACAAAAAAACCATGTCTGCTAAGAAGAAAACTAAAACCCAGGTCACACTAACCTGAAGTCACAGAAGCTATGGCCACTTCTACCATGTAACCCCAAATATAATCTGATAGGTGTGGGAAGTATCTTGAGGTAATGTTTAACATTTTACACTATCAAGAAACCGAACTCCACAGCAAAATAGACAGCACAGAAAACTCAACATAAAATATGAAGTTAAAAGGATGTGGGTTAAGAATGTAAGGCTTACCATACCACGTGGGATCACTTTAATCCCTAACCTGTTCGTCCACCGCGACTGTATGTAACAGCTGCCTCCTGGTTCGTCTTCTATGCCTCTCCTCCCTGCAAGGAGTCTATTACTCCTCATCTAATTGGTGTCTGCAGCTGTTTAAGTGCAGAACTTGATAGTACCTCCCTGTGATGGGACAAACAACCCAGGTTTGAGACTATGTTTTAAATATGAATTTCAAAACAAGCAGTGATAATAGTTCAGTAATAGAATTGAAGGTGAGTTCGCCCTACAGTTTCTCTTCATAGTTCCTGCCACCTACTAAACATCCTGGAGAACTCTGGCGAGCATCCCTTTGAAATTCCTCTAACCTCCCACATTGAAAAGCGAGTTTTCAAAGCACAAAACCACAAACCGGTAACATGAGGGACAGGCTGAATGTTGGCCCCTCTCCCCAGATGTCCACGGCATAATCCCCAGAAATCTGTGAGGGTGAAAAGGAACTTGAATGTGATTAACTTAAGATCCCTGAGGTGGGGCGATATAACTGTTTTATCCAGGTGAGCTCATATCATCTCCAGAGTCCCTGCCAGAGAGAGGAAGGAGAGGCAGGAAGAGGTGAGGAGACAGTAAGTGCAAGAAGTTGATGTGGTGTCAACTTCAGCCTAGTGCCTGCTGCTGGACTGCTGACCTCCAGAACAGAATGGCTTAAAAAAGTTTGTAGCAATTACAGCCACTATAGGAACACAAAACAGCTACTATAAAAATCATTTTACCTCACAATATGCACCATAGAAATATGCAGAAAATAGGCACAAACCTACCTTTGTGTTTGTCACCAAGAACTTTAAATTTGCTTTCTTGATTTTGAATGACTATCAGAGATTAGAATTAAAAGCAGGGTCACATAGTAACATAGTAACAACTTAATATAGCTTAATCAATAGCTTCTGCTGATGGGACAGACTGTCACACACACACACACACACACACACACACACACACACACACACACACTAAAAAGTCAAATGGCCACTAGAACAGGACATCTAACATTAAGCGAGAAAAGGTATGCACAGTTTGTTCTAAGTTCTTGCTTATCCATTTTCTCTACACAAGTCTCCTTGAACACCAATATCACCTAAAGGCTTCGAACATTTGCTTGGCTCCAGCGCTCACACACCTGCTGAGTCCTGCTTTTCACCAAGCCCTGGAAACAGATCAGAAGGGCCACAGCTCTCTCATGTCCTATTTAACAAGCTCGGGGACTTCTTAGAGCACACTGTAAATTGTCCGTGACCCATACTATCTGCTGTTTGTTTCATGTTTAGTGATATATTTGTATGATTTTTTTTGTGTGCATACATGCACATATATGTGTGTGTTCAGGTGTGTGCATGTGGATGCAGGCACCCAAGAGGATAACCTTGGATGTCATTTACCAGGAGCAGTTCACCTTGCTTATTTTGATACAGAACCTCTCACTGGCCTCGAACTTGCTAACTAGCCTAAGGTGTCTGACAGGTGAGCCCCAGTGACTCACCTACCTCTCCCTCCCCAGTGCTGGGATTACAAATTGAACCTAGACACTTGCTGTGGGATGTTCTGTATGTCCTGTGGGAGCCAGTTCTCGGGTTCCTTGTGGCACGGGCCTGAGTGCAGGTGTCTGAGATGGTCTGCACTTGGCTGTGCTGGGGGATGGTCTGTATGTCAAGTTGCTCTGAGTGGTCAATGAATAAAACCTGATTGGCTGTGGCTAGGCAGGAAGTATAGGCGGGACTAACAGAGAGGAGAAATAAAAGAAAAGGAAGGCAGAAGGAGACTGCCAGCTGCCCACCAGGACAAGCAGCATGAAAAGATGCCGGTAAGCCACTAGCCACGTGGCAAGGTATAGGTTTATGGAAATGGATTAATTTAAGCTATAAAAACAGCAAGAAGCCTGCCATGGCCATACAGTTTGTAACCAATAGAAGTCTCTGTGTTTACTTGGTTGGGTCTGAGCAGCTGTGGGACTGGCGGGTGACAAAGATTTGTCCTGACTGTGGGCAAGGCAGGAAAACTCGAGCTACAGACCCTCATGCATGTAAGGCAAGCTCTTTACTGACTGAGCTATCTACCCAGCCTTTTGTGTGTTTAGTACAAACAGACAGACACACAGACCCAGACACACATAGACACACACACACACACACACACACACACACACACACACACACACTGCATTGCTTTTCTAGTCTTGTAGACGAGAAAGCTAAGCTCAAAGGCCAACTTGTTCAAGATTATACAACGGCCTTATGTGGGATTTGAAGCTTTGTCTTTCAGCTCATATAACTAAAATACCCAGGTGAAAACTTCCCACACTGGTTTTGCTCACAGAAGGGAGAGCAAGAAAAGCTATCTGAATGATTTCACATGAAATATCAACTAGTTTACAACCTGAATTCTTCAATGTTCAACTCAAGGTCAATGTCAGTGCTTCCCATGTGTCAAACCCTGCAAGTGGCATGTCTTTCCTAGGATTTGCCTTCCAGTTCCTCCCTAAAGGTTTCTTTGTAGTTGCTGCAGCAAGCATTATGCAACAGTGGCATCTAAACGGAATGTCACTGCAGCTTCCTCAGCAG